GGTTCGCCGCGAATTCAGCTCCTGGGTTCGTAGATGAGGGATTTTCGGTAAGGATTTTCTGTTTGTTTCTCTGACTGGATGAGGAAGAATTTTCTGTTTGAGGAAGAATTTTTGTTTGTTTTTCTGATTGAATTGGATGAGGAAGAAGACAGTGAAGAACGGTGAAGAAAGGAGCAGAAATGTGGTGTTTTGAAACATTATATAGTGATTTTTTTGTAAATAAACGGAAGTGCGAGGATAAAATGGGGATATCAGGTCAATTTCATTAATCCAAAAGCCGGAAGCTGCCGCGGAAGTAAGAATTGGAGAGCTTCCGACCTTTACAAAGAAAAAGTGAGAAGCTGAGCTTCTTAAAAGCTGCAGCCACATTAGGAAGCTACCCCGTTTGGTGTGGCTTGTGCTTTTAGAGCCAAAAAGCTCTTCCCACAATCCACACCAAACAGGCACTTAGTCTAACTTAAGTAAGATCTTAAATTTGAAGCTTTATATACGCAACAGCTTTTGTTAGAAGACTCATCCACCATTTTTAACTGCGCGACATGAATCGATCCAGATTAATTGGGGCGGAGCCCCGAATATCGTGTAGAAAACCAAAAAAAAAAACAGTGGTGTCTATGCATATGTGGTGTTCATCTGTGCAAAAAATTATGCTACATCATTAAACAAAATCCACATCAAATTAATAACATTACAGGATATTTATGTTACTGTTTAAGTGTCACGTATTACATTATTTTAATAATTATTAACAGACACATAAATATTTGTTACAATATTAAGTTTTTTATGGCTTTAAAAAAAGTGAAAGGTATGAATAAAGAAAAATTTTAAAAGATATTAATCACAAAAAAAATATAAATGATAGATGCAAATAAGGGATTTGGCCAATATCAATTTCCTCAAATTAGTATGTCACCCTTTATTGATTCATAACATATTTGTCGTGTCCATTGCCTATTTTCGAAAAAACATATTGGACGTGTAAGTTATAAAACATTTTCATCTGATTAATTACTTGTTTTTTAAGTGAAAATACCTTTAAATTTAAATTTTGATTTTTT